ATCTCCTCGTTGGATGTCCTAGCATTCTATGATATCGGCAATAGTTAGGATCATCTACTTTCCCTGCTTCTTCATGTTTCTTCACTTCAAGAAGTTTCAGCTTGTTGTTCTTTCGAAGTAGCTGAAATAAGGTGTCCTCATGTTCCTCCTTGAAGGAGTACTGCTTGGGTGCCCTCTGTTGACTTGATGTCTTGCCTAGCTTCAAAGGTAGCGCTCGGGTACTGGTATTGGTGGCCAGAGTCTCCTTTCCCTTGGATCTAGGAGCACTGCCTTGGTTGCGTTACGCTTGCGACTTTGACTTGTTAGCTTCTTCAGCTCTGACTCGGGGAACGATCTCTTCTGTTTGCTCTCTTTGTGAGACCAACTGCTTCCAAGAGCAACATTTTGCTATTCCCATTTGAGCCAGGAGATGGGTTTGCAAGTTGTGTCTATAAGTTTCCATCAAAGTAGATTGTGTCATACCTAATGGGCATCATAGGGTCATACTTCGGAATCTCTCTACAAATATCTTTATAGATTCTCATTTCCTCTGCTTAGTGACGAGAAGGGTCGGGATAGAGACTTCTGAATCATCTTCAAAGAACCTGGCTAAGAAAAGTCTTTCTAGATCTACCCATTTATGAATAGACCCAGTAGGTAACTTCATGAACCATTCGAAAGCAACCCCCTTAAGGGTGTCGATGAACAAACATGTTAATATGGCATCGTTCGCTATCACATCTCTAGTCTGCGACTTGAAGTAATAGATGTATTGATTCGGCGATCTCGTGCCGTCAAAAGCTTATAGAGTCAGGGCCTTAAATTTTGAAGGATAGGGAACTATGTCCTATTCTGCGGGATAAGGCCGCACTACTCCACCATCTTAGAGCTCGCTCCTATTAGTAATTGTGTTGAGACGAGCTTCTAATTCCTCCATCTTGGCCGACTGAGGATTGTGCTCATTCTCACCCTCCTTCTCTTCTTCAGATGTGGACTTTATACTGTGAGCTTCATGGTCTGAATTCTTGTTCACTTTGTCCTTCCCTTTTGATGATTTCGTCTTTTGGGAGGATTCAGCTTTTTATACCTTTTCTGTGATAAGTTGAGTCATCAGATCTCGTAGTTGATTAAGAGTCTCTTGCTGAGCCTGGAGCATGGCCTGATGTTCATCGACCCTCCTTGCTAGGTCATCTGAGCTCCCTGTCATGTAAACAGAATTCTCATGTACTACAAAAAAACTCAAGGATTGAGACTCCATGATGCCTGAGTATTCCTCGTCAGAAATTGCTCCTCTAGCTAGTCGTTTGTAATTAATAGGAGGAATGTCTCTTGTCTGAGTCCGAATGTATCGATATATTCCTTCGAACTCATCACAAATTTCTCTGACAGTCGGCGAACGGCTTGTTTTCGAGTCATCGGAGCTAGGAGCTTTCCTTCTACCGATCACATTGATAGTAACCGCAGGATATTCGGTCTCCGAAGTCTTCTTCTTATAGTGTCTTCGTCGTTTGGCAGGTCGGGCGACATTCGTCAATCGGTCAAATACTAACCGCCTTGGTTTAGAAGTGCAGCATGTGCATTCTAAGAGGATTGCAGAGATAAGTCGCTCATAATGACATGAATGGGTAGCTCATTGCACTAGTCTTTCTCTTGAAAGTAACTCCCTTAAGTCAGATACATGGGGAGATTCTCACAGAGCGTGAGGTTGGAGATGGAACCCCCTGTCCCTCAGTGGACAGGACCGGTTGTTGTTGAACATGGATCTTGAATCCACGTTGATCTCTTTAGACACGACGGATCACGTCACGTTTTGCGTTCTGATGTGGCATGATATAAGCCTTTGGATTGTAATAGGTTGAGGGGATGAGTGGGTGAACTATTTTGCAAAAAAACCCTCATCTCATTCTCTCTCCTTAACCTATTCCAATCCAAATGCTCATTTCATGCCACATCACTACCAAGTAAAATGAGTATGCATGGTACCAAGCATACCCATTTTCCTCATGTAAGAAAAATGAGTATGCTTGGTACCAAGCACAAAAAGTTGTGCTTGATAGTGAGGTGACATAATCATATATATATATATATATATAATAGCTTGTTTCGAGCTACTATCATAAGCAGGATTATGTACATTTTGAGATAGCTATGTTATCTAAAGTGCCAGACTTGACTTGTACACGGAACTTGTCTTGTGTGTAGGTCGTTATTGTCGCGTAGCTCATATTTATAAATTTTTTCTATAGTTCAGGGCGTGACACTTTTAAAAGGCGAATACGATGAAATATAATAGGTAGTCCTCTATGTTTGGTGAAAAAATTCGAAGAAGACAATTGAGAATTAAATTTGTATTATTCTCTCTAACATACTTAGAAAAAGAATTAATTATAATTCTCTTGATACAAAATTCTCTCTAACAAGCTTAGACAAAGAAATTACAATCTTCTCAGTCGGTTTCCCGATTTACAAAAGAAGAAAGGAATCGACGGAGATCATTCTCTTTGTTTAACGTGGGTTCTTCTTCGTGTCGATAAGATGCCTCCCTCGAAACTCATGTTAAGTTTGCTTCTCATTGATGATCTGACATTTTACCTTGCTGGAACAAAATCTATTTCTCTTGGATTTGATATCGTGGAGAACTTGTGTGGCAAGTTTAAAAATAACCCTTAATGATTTTAGGAATTCAGAACGAGTTTAAACTCAGTAAAAGAGTTAATTTAAATAGAAAATTAGTTATTAAGCCAAGGATAATAACCCCTGCCAAAAAGTGCTTCAAAATCTCTAAGTGCCGATCTCTCTTTTTCTGTTTGAAAAAGATCAAGGTCCAGATCCAAAAAGATCTGATCCCTAACTCTGTTGAGTTTTCTGTTATTTATAGGGGGGAGTAAGAGGTTGCAACTAACCTCTTAAACCGCTCCTAAATGGGCGAGAATCCCTTAGAACGTGGGGAAAACGATTTTGGAATCGTTCAGCTCGTGTTTGAAAGAATCAAACGCTAAAATTGACGTTCTGGGCCCGAACTCTGCGTCTTAGACCTGAAACACAAAGTTGGGCATATGCTTAAGGCTAAAAACGTAGTGACTGCACCGCATTATGAGTTTGAAACGCAGAAGTTAACTCTGTATATTTTCTGGAATTGAAGAAATTGTTGACTTCTAATCTCTTTCATTAGGGCATTTGCAGAGATCGTCATTTTGTAATCTCCACATTAACTCTTTGAAATGTGAGAGTCATCAAATTGTAACTCTTACTATTGATTGTGAAGATTGTTGCATTAAGGTTTTTCATCAGTTGTCGCGAAGGTCGTCGAATTGTAACCTTTCTCGATCTAATTAAAAATCTTTTAATTGTAGCCTTCATTTGTTGATTTGATTGTAAAATTGTTATTGTGGAAGTCATCAAATTGGTGTTTGATGGGGATCAGCTACATGTAGTAATTTTTAGACATGCTACACTCTATAAGAGGTGAAACCCAAAGGCACAAGGTATAAGTCTAATGAATTTTTCTTATTTTTAATTTTTCTAGAATTTTAAATATTACATGAAGACAAAGTAGGGATACATTTCAAATTTTATATGAAATAACATACTTAAATAATAAAATAATAGTGTGACCAAAGGTTTTAAAAAGGTGAGGAAATACATAGTTAATAAGAGGTTATATATAATTAGTGAATGATTAATTACAGTCAATGGCATATTTGAGAATTATCAAATCTAAAAAGGGTAAAAATAAAAATCAAAAGTTTTGACAAGACAATCATCTTTTATATGAAGTATAGAAGTATAGATTAGATTAGATTAGACTAGTCCACCAGCCATTTAGCCTAATTGGATAAGTAAGTATGAACTAATTAGGACTAGAATATAAATCTTATTAGAGCATTCTGCATGTGATCGAGCACTTTTAAACGATAAATGGATAGTTGAAATCTCCAAACATTTTTCTTGTTCTTCCCATGAATAATTCTGAAAAACTCTGCAGACATGGAGAATGTTTTGATAAGGGTATTGCTAGAAACTACCTTTAAAATGGAGTTATTTTATAGAAACCATCTTTAATTGTCAATTTATACGTAAACCATCTTTAAACAATTTTTTGTGGCAAGTAATCACTTAGACTCACCTTTTTTTCCTTTTTTGATTTCAACCCAAACTCACTTTTAAGTCAAGTTTTTTTGGTTATAATAACTAATTGTTAAATACCAAGTAGATTAGAGAGATGATCTTTATTTGAGGTTAGGTGTGGTCAATTACCGAAAAAACTTAACTATAAAGTGGGCCTAGTCAGTTGATTGCAACAAAGAATCCTATAAAGATGGTTTATATATAAATTGAAAATTAAAGTAAAATGACCTTGTTTTAAAGATGATTTCTAGGAAAAAAAACCTTTTGATAAAACTGACCTAAATTGAACGGAAATACCATAAAGTTTCCTATGTTGATAATTAAATATCACAAGTTGTATTTTAGTAAAAAAATACTATAAAGTTTCTAAAATTTACTATCATCGATCATGTAAAACATGAAAATTTGCACCAAAAACGTTTCTCTATGATACTCACATACTAATTTTAGAGCTTTCTAACCATTAATATGTGGTAAAACTTTTATTAGCAATATCGCAATTCTATTTTAAAGTAGAATTAAGATAAATTTGAAAAATAAATTTGATTGATTTGATGGCAAATCTAACAAATATTATTAGTTAAAAAGATCTAACATTAGGTCGTAAGTATCATAGAGAAATATTTGAGTAAAACTTTTTAAAATTTCATGAATGATAGTAGTAATGTGTAACTTTTAGAAACTTTATGGCATTTTTTATTAAAATATAATTTATGGTATTAAATTGCCAGAATGGGTAACTTTATGGTATTTAATTGTCAAAATGGGTAACTTTATGGTTTTTTTTACAATTTAGGCTAAAATTATACTCAGATATGCCCCCTCAAGCCAACCCGAGGGTGTTTTCGTCATTTACGCTCCCTTAAATCCTTGGTGTGCACAATAATCACAGGCTACCGGCTTGGGAACAGGCACGGAGTTGGCGCCGGAGATACGAAGAGAGAGGCTTGGGATCAAAGCTCCAGGTTCGTTTTCTTTTCAAATTCACCCCCCAAAATTTCTCAAATTTCCTTCCGTTTCTTTTCTCAATTTAACCCTCGTCCCTTTCAATCCTCATAAATGATCATGGCGCTCCTTCTAGGGTTTCAAAGCGGTGATCGATGGGGACTAGGGTTCCGGTCCCGCATTACCACCACCTGAGGCCGTCGAATTCCTTCATCGAGAGCTCGCTGCACGATCTCAACACTGTCGATGGACGAAACGGGGAGATTGAGGGGATCAGTGATGTGGATCGCGATGCAGTTACTGAGGATAGCTTGGATAATGACGACGAGTGCAATTCGGTGGTTTGTTACTTGATTCTCCTTCTCTTTGTCTGATTTTGGTCATTACGCAGTTATTTCTCTTTAAGAGCAACTCCAATGGGGAGGCTGCAAAAGTATATGCATGGGAATATGCTTTTTTAGAGGGGGGCACTCCAACTACCCCCTCTATATGAAGCTCTATTTGTATTTTAATTGATTTCTTTTATAATACTTTAAATAGATTTGAAAATATAAAAAATATAAAATGTTAAAAAATTATATGAATTAATTTAAAATATAAAATATATTATAAATTAATACTAAAAGTATAATATATAATATACTCATTATTTAAATAAAATTAATTATCTTTAATAAATTGATAATAAGACATAGATAAGAGCCTTTAAATTTTAAAAAGCAGAAAATATAGCATAATATTTGGAACAACCTTCACAGCTATTCCGAATGATAAAATTTTATATATTACATTCAGCGGCATTACATAGAAAAATAAAGTACATGAAAATAAAGTACATGAAAAAAACTAAAAATCGGGCAGGCCATTTCCTCCATATCCACCGCTTCTGTAGTCAGGTATTCCGTATTGACTTCCTGCATAACTATATTCAGGATTAGGAATATCAGATGAAGAACCTCCGGTTGTGTTTCTATTTAAAATCTCTTGTTTTTTAATTCGAAAATACTCGCGTTCCGAAGGATCAGTAATAGTATCAAGATTAATCAACATAATCTTACTTTCCTGGCGTTCCCTTTGAATATCTAATTTTTTCCGAAGTAACAGAAGGAACTTTACAGGAAGTTAAGGAGCACTTAGAGCAGGGAAAACATACACATGGAAAATCCAATGATTTCTGTTCATAAGAGGAAATAAATGAGCTAGCCTTGGATTTCAGTCAAACAAGAGCCATGGAAGATATAAAGGGGCTCTCCGATATATGCCAAAACTAGCCATATAAGGCCCTATATAAAGGTTTAATTTGCTCCCGAGTGCAAGCAATCCCCAGCTCAAGTTATCTGGTAATCAAGAATCCAATTCTAACTCGGATCATCCAGAATTTGACCTTTTTTGCACAAAATTGGTTGCTATAAACACAATTTTTAGATATCATAGGAATGTGCAAACGGGGTGATCCGCAAAGATTAATAAATGTGACTTGAAACAAACAAAGAGAAATTGGTCAGGAACCAAATAGGAGTATGCAATAAATGGAGCAATACATCCCTCAAGAGGAATGGAGAGCAGAATTGCTAAGAGCCTAATAAAGTAATAACTGGATGCAAGAAATTGAATTAAACTCCCTCTCTTTTTTCAAACTTTTGGTGAAACTACCATATACTTCTTATAGAAAACTATCATGAAGTTTCTAATAAATTTACTCAAACACAGAAAACAACCACATGTATTTTTTATAGTAATTTTAACCTCACCGTATATTTAAATAGTATAAGATTCGAACTTCATACCCCTTTCTATTACAACCGAAAACACAAGTGATAGTTTGAAAAACTTTTGAGGAAGTCCTTATTTGTTTTGTATAATTAAACAAGTTACTGCAAGTTTCTCTGCAAAGGAAAAACTTAGTTTCTATTTATAACGTAGCCCTAAAGAAAGATAGAAACAGAGGTAAACCATGCAAATTAATGACGATAGTACATAGAAGCTAGCATTTCGCAGCTCAAGATCGTTTACCTCTAATAAGTTTCAAAATAATTTTGCAGATAATTGCTGCTTCTAGCAGGTTCCTTGGGCATTCACTTTGTTCTTCGATCGTTTCTCTTCCATCTGAAACATCCAGAAATCTATATGCTCCAGATATACACTCCGGAAGAAGAGGTATCTCCTTTTCCCTAGCCACAGTTGTTTGACTGTCTAAGAGTTTCTGCTTAAAGAACTTCTTATTTGGGAAACAACTTATGAACGGATGCATTCCGTACTGCAGAAATAGATTTTGTTCTTCGGGATACAGGAGGCTTAGCCTTTCAAATAGGCTCCGTTCATAGCCAATCTGCAGAAGATTCTGAGAGCAACTCCAATGGGGAGGCTGCAAAATGCAGCCTCCCCAAAGCATATTCTTAGGCATATGCTTTTTTAGAGGGGGGTAACTCCAACCATCTCCTCTATATGAAGCTCTATTTGCATTTTTAATTGATTTCTTTTATTAATACTTTAAATAGATTTGAAAATATAAAAAATATAAAATGTTAAAAAATTATATGAATTAATTTAAAATATAAAATATATTATAAATTAATACTAAAAGTATAATATATAATATACTCATTATTTAAATAAAATTAATTATCTTTAATAAATTGATAATAAGACATAGATAAGAGCCTTTAAATTTTAAAAAGCAGAAAATATAGCATAATATTTGGAACAACCTTCACAGCTATTCCGAATGATAAAATTTTATATATTACATTCAGCGGCATTACATAGAAAAATAAAGTACATGAAAAAAAAACTAAAAATCGGGCAGGCCATTTCCTCCATATCCACCGCTTCTGTAGTCAGGTATTCCGTATTGACTTCCTGCATAACTATATTCAGGATTAGGAATATCAGATGAAGAACCTCCGGTTGTGTTTTTATTTAAAATCTCTTGTTTTTTAATTCGAAAATACTCGCGTTCCGAAGGATCAGTAATAGAATCAAGATTAATCAACATAATTTTACTTTCCTGGCGTTCCCTCTGGATATCTAATTTTTTCTTTTCGTTTTCGGCCCTTAACATCATAATCTGGTGCATTGTTATTCTATCATTTTCTCGTTGTCCATGACTTTTTTTTAAAATATCGACAATTTCTTGATTGCTTTTATTGAGAGTTTCCAAGTCGAGGTTCTTTTCAGCTGCCTGTCGCCTCCTCATCTTCTCTTTCTTCCTTCCTGTCGGTCGACTTGTTATCATATCTTCGTCATTATGAGTATATTCCTCATTATCGTCATTTAAGTCGACGACAGGAGAACTTGAATCTGATCCCTGAGATGAGCGGGACTTTGAAGTTTTGGAAGTTGCAGGCGATCTGACACTTATATTTGCCCATTTCTCTGCATCTTTTAAAATTAACCAAACATGATCAAATAGAAATCCCTTTCTCTCTTCTGGATCTTCTGCAAATATTATCCTAGCACGTTTAATCTACCATAACAGAGGAAGAAACATTTATTAATAACATGATAGTAGATGATAATCAAGATTTATGTTATTCAAAATACTTACAATGTCAAGCTCAGAAGCACCGCTTGGATTTAAGCGCTCGACTTGTCGAATACATCCTCGGAATTTACTGATGACCTTCATAATTAATTGCATTCGGCATGAGAGAGACTTTGGAGTCCTTTGAGCATTACAAATATTGAAAATCCTTTTATGAAATAAAGCAGAAATTCGTTCCCACAGCTTGTCCTTCTTTTGATTAGAACCCATGACTGGATCTTGAGAAATTTCGAGCCACGTGGCGCATAAAATTTGATCTTCTTCTTGTAAAAAAGATTTTCCACGACTAGATGCCATAATCTAAGGAGGAATGTAAAGAGTTATGAATATAGAATAAGAAGAGTTGTGGTGGAGATATGAAAATTATGCAAGTATTATATAGGGATCAGATGTAGGGAGTCTCCAACACCAGGAGAATCCAATGTGGGGAGTCTCCAACACAAAAGGAATCCAATGCGGGGGTGAGAAGCCAATGCTGAAAAGAATCCAATGTGGGGAGTTTCCAACACGAAAGGAATCAAATGTGGGTTGTCTCCAACACCAAGAATCCAATGTAGGGAATCTCCAACAAGAAAGGAATCCAATGCGGGGAGTCTCCAACACCAGGAGAATCCAATGTGGGGAGTCTCCAATACAAAAGGAATCCAATGTGGGGGTGAGAAGTCAATGCTGAAAAGAATCCAATGTGGGGAGTTTCCAACACGAAAGGAATCCAATGTGAGGGGGGGGGTGAGAAGCCAATGCTGAAAAGAATCCAATGCGGGGAGTCATATTATATAATGACATTACATCCATCTCTAAATAACTCACAACTTATATGATTATTTCTTTAAAAAACTTCTTCATCAATGAACTATGGAGCCGGACCGTCACATCTACCTTCTTCTTCTTCTTCTTCTTCTTCTGACGACGACGAAATATTTTCTCAGTACATTAAAGATTGGGAGGAAGATATGATACAATGGGAGAAGAAAGATGAACTCTTAGTTCGCGTACATGCCTCTAATAATAAAATAATGACTTATCTCTCTCAAGAGGCAGATCGGCCAAAGCGTATTGGCTCAGTTCCTGGTCATTTGGTGATCAATCGCGGGAGGGAAGAAGGTAATTCTCGACTTTACCATGACTATTTTTCTGATAACCCTACATATGGTGCAAACCTATTCCGTAGAAGGTTCCGGATGCACAGGAGTTTATTCCTTCGTATAGTCGAGGCGGTACGTGAGCATGACAACTTCTTCGTACAAAAGATGGATGGTGTCGGCAAACTTGGGCTATCAACTTTACGAAAAGTTACATCGGCATTTCGCATGTTGGCGTATGGAACATCAGCAGATAGTACTGACGAATATGTTATGATCGGTGAGTCAACTGCAATTGTATGTTTAAAGAGATTTTACAGAGCAATTGTAGAAGTATATGGAGATGAATATCTGAGGACCCCCAATGTCGACGATGTTGCAAGGTTATTGCAAAAGGGCGAAGAAAGAGGTTTTCCAGGAATGTTAGGAAGTCTAGACTGTATGCATTGGCAATGGAAAAATTATCCAACAGCATGGGCAGGACAATACTCAGGTCGTCATGGAGGTCCAACCATTATTCTTGAGGCAGTAGCATCATATGATCTATGGATATGGCATGCATACTTTGGCTTACCAGGATCCAATAACGATATTAATGTATTGCAGTCGTCTAATTTGTTCGACAATCTATCACAAGGTATTGCTCCTCCTGCTCATTACACAATTCAAGGAAAAAATTATGATGTCGGTTATTATTTGGCCGATGGCATATATCCGAAATGGCCAACACTTGTTCAAACCATTTCTAATTCCGATGATAAAAAGAAACAATATTTTGCAATGATGCAAGAAGCATGTCGAAAAGATGTTGAGCGGGCATTCGGTGTTCTCCAATCACGATTTGCTATCATCAAGGGGCTAGCCCGTTTTTGGGATAAACGAACTCTGCATGATATCATGACTGCTTGTATTATAATGCACAATATGATTGTCGAAGATGAACGCGATGAGCAAGAAGATGTTGTCATTTCAACTCCACAAACAATTCCAAATGCTGAAGATATGGAGATAACGGAAACTGAACGATTCCAACGGTTTCTTGCTCGACATAAGAGGTTGAAAAACAAAGAAGCTCATTTTGCACTTCGAAATGCATTGATTGAATATTTGTGGGAAAGACATGGAAATGAAGCGATGTAACTTTTTTTACTAATGAAATACTGACTTTTTCATTTTTAATTACTTGGTTCTTGATATTTTATATTTCAATTAATATTATTCAATATTAGTCTCATTTTGAAGGTATCGACAAAACATTTCCAACTGTAAAACTTTTATTTAAAAATAATTAGTAGAAATAAACTTATGTTGATTTTAAGTTGAATATCTAAAAATAATTAGTTAGTTAGAAGGGTATTATTGTTATTTTTGGGGGGGAATAGTGGTTTGGAGGGGGGCTGCATATTTGGAGCTCCAACTCCAAATCAGCCGGACTCCAAAAAATGGAGTCCGGTTGGAGCTCAACCGGGCTGCATTTTGGAGAAATGCAGCCCGGTTGGAGCTGCTCTAATGGACAAGCATTTGGCCTTTTTTTAAGATCAAATTTGGTTACTTGGGGCGAAGGTTAGCTTTTGTGGTGTTATTTATGAGTATTTATTATATTTTAGTTTACAAATCATGTAAATGAGTGTTGTTGCGACTACACACTTTACGACTTGTTCTTCTTGTTGAGATGAATGGAAACATGTTGAAGCTGCTGAGGGAAAAGCATGGAGATGATGCTTGTGGTGGTGGTTGCCCCTTCATGAACTCGAGGTTTAAGGATGAAGAATGGTTTTGTAAGGTCAAGGATTTGGCTCTGATGTCATGTCCAAGAGTTGAGAAATGATATCTTTTCTTATTGATCAGTATGCCATATAATATATACTATATATATATATATATATATATATATATATATATATATTATATATATATATATATATATATTGGAAACGATCAATAAAAAGTCGCATATTGGAAAAGATCAAAAAAAAAGTACTATAAAGTGAATAATCAGTGTTTTAGAAGCGAAAGGTGATGTCAAAGCTATGAGGTCCTTGGTCCTCCCTCCATTGCCTGAAGCGAGAGATGCCAAAAAGTTGATTGCCTTAATGAACCAAGGCGATAAATATTCAAAAATTCATAAACATTAAACAATATGCAATCAAACACAATATCAGTAAATCGCAATGCGACAAAAAAATTTCAACCAAAATTTAGAAATCACAACTTATGATACCTCCCAAGGCATAATCCATCGAGACAAAGTTTGAATAGTGCATAAAGTAAACAACAAATAGTGAATAGTGATACTAACTAGCACACAACTGACGTGGATGATTAAACAATAAAGTTTAACTTTCGTTCAAATTGTGGCATCTCCTCAAAATGGTATATATAGGAAATAAGGTGTATTATAACAAAGTAGGAAAAATTAGCCAAGAAAAAAGAAAGAAAAAATTCTAAAAATAAAACAACTTTACTTTATTGGACACCTCTCGCACCCTCAAAAATTTAAAATATAGGTAATCACCTTTCTCTCCTTACCACACAAGTCTTAGGCGAGGGCCTGAAGTGTCAAAGCAAGTGCTTGAGGCCAAAAGGCGCTCGCCTTAGTAACCTTCGTTGCCTGGCGGTATGCAATGCCCTAAGGTAAAACATCCTCTTGCCTGAGCGCCTGAGGCGTTAAAGCGCATTGTTTTTAAAACACTGATAAAAATAAGTGCCATGTATATATCCAACTTCATGGGAGTGGCAAGTTTAAGCCTGCCAGTGAACTTAAGTTGCATGTTCCGATCTCTTGAGTCAGGTACAGAGTTCTTACAGCTTAACAATATTAGCACAAACTAACCAAATTAGCGTGTTCTGGTTTGGCTTCAGGAATCTGAACTTTTCTTTAATGGTTCAGTTTCAGATAGTGCAAATTAGTGTAATATTCTGGCCTCAACCCTAGCCAATATGCAATATGTATTCAACCTGCAACAAGAGCACCACAAACCACTGCCCTCCTTTCTTGCACGTCCGTTATCTTGTCCACCATGCTTTTTTATCCTAATCATTTTTAAATATAATATTTTCTATGTCTAATGGTGGTTTGATGGAATTCACTGTTTGTTCCCACTCTGAAGTGTTTGACCTGTGCAACCAAAACACGTAATGGTTGTTTGAATTCTTAATATTGAAAATTCCTATTGCTTTGACATTCCTGCATGTTATTCCAATTGTCTGCCAATTGCTTAAGTAACATGTGTATACATAATGAAATGCTTTGGCGTTCCAAGTGTTTTATTCCAATTGACTGCTAATTGGTTAAGAAACTTGTCAGGACTGCATACATGATTCATATCGAAATTCATTACCCCTCCATGATGCCGGAGTAGATGAAGAACGTGCTGCGCTTGAGAACAGTGGCAGGTCACCCTGTGCACCTTACAGTATATTGTCAATTGATGGTAATGCCTCTGCATTTTGTTCCTTGAGTCTAGTTAAGGTTCACACTTCTTGTTGTTTTACTTAGATTTCTTCACTGGAGCTGTCACTGCACTAATGCAGATTTCTACTTCTAACGTTGTTTGTTAACTATCAATATTTGTGACAGATGTTTTGCCAATTGAAAGTGCAAGAGCAAGATTCTTACAAATAATAGTTGATAATTTCATCAACGAACATGTTGTTGCAGTGGAAGACACTCCGGACGTTAGCTATAATCATGGACATGATAAATTAAACAAAAGAAAGCCACGAGATGTTCAGTGTGAAGGTGACCCAAGGTTTGTTTTGCCCTTGATGTATGTGGCAAATTTGTACGAGACTTTAGTTAATGATGTGAATGTGCGACTTTCTTCCTTGAATGGAATTCGGGAGAAGACAATTGGGGTAGCTCTTGAAGCAGCTGGTGGTTTGTATAGGAGGCTAGCAAGAAAGTTTCCAAGGAAAGGTGTGAATTGTAAATTGCATAAATTAGTTAGATTGGGTGATCTGTTTGACATGTTTCTTTCAAACTTTTTGCTTCCTTGATATTCTAGGACCTTGTAGCTTTAAGAGAAGGGAACTAGCAACCTCTCTTGAAACACGCACAAGATTTCCAGAGCTAGTAGTACATGAAGAGAAACGTGTTCGCTTTGTAGTAGTCAATGGTTTGGTGATTATTGAGAAGCCGGACAGCATGAATATGGAGGATGCAGAATGGTACATTTCAGCCTAATTTATTTCCAAAGATCTATCAAGTATATATGATTAATTGAGGTAGCATGTGTGATCTAAGATGTGTTCAACAGCATAAGTTGACAAACAGCCTGATCAGGGACCAAACCAACTAGGGAATATATCTTGGATGCCTGTTTTCTTTTTTTTTTCTTTTTTCCCCTTTATGTTTTCAGCATCATTTATTATAAAATGTCATTGTACTATTTAAAAAAAAATTTATGCTACTACTTCAATGTATCATTTCTTCCAAAAAAGTATAAATCAGCTTGAAAGCCCAATTTTGTTTTATATATATATATATACTATTATATTATATATATATATATATATATTATATATATATATATATATATATATAGAGAGATGAGCAGAGCAGCAAGAGGACGGCGGAGAGAGAGAGAGAGGAGAGAGCAGGAGAGCTACGTTTTGCCGCAGACAATTCACATGTTTCTAGAAGCAGGATGTTGGAATGTTGTTACTGTGAGTTCCACATTCCAATGAAATATATATAATTAGAAACCACAGTTAGACATCCTTGTGGCAAAAGTGCAAAATGCTACCATCTCATAGTTGAGTGTTTTATTCAGAAAGGCTGAAGTTGTAGGATTGTGGCTTTCTTCAGCTCACTTGTATGGGGGAGAAAGCGCCAAAGTGTGAGGTTTCATGAACCAAGTCAATACTGATGTCCACACTAACATGAAACGGAGTAAAACTATGGCTTTTATGTGGAGTTGAAAATAAATTCCCCATTTATAAGATAGTAGCATTTTGCAACTTGTTAGCTTTTATCAGATTAGAGTCATTACACTGATGTGCTTGGACAGTGACCACTATTATTCTCAATGTTGGTTCAGCTAAGCTATTCCTTGGGCCTGCGAGCCAATTTGTGCGATGTAAGCTGTGGGCCCGCTGAGTATAGCGCGTTGTTTGGCTCAAACCATTGCCAAAATTGATTAGCTGATGCTACATTTGAGTCTTTGTCTTTACTATATAAACTGCTCGAACTCTTACTCTACCACCGCTGTGAGACTAAACTCTTGGGGCATCACAGAGGGAATTCCAATGTTAAACTAAGCATATATTACAATGGGAAATGTCTGCCACTCAAGTCAACATCGGCAATTATGTCTCTCATTCTGCATGGTACTTATAGAATCTTGAAATGAAGCAAAGTGCCGTGAAACAGGACTAGTCAGGATTTACTTTCAGCTTTGCTAAATAGGGAGAATACATAGCTCACAATCCTCTGATAGTATGCAATTAAAGCTTGTATATTTTATACTGTGTTGGACGGAATTCAAACTCTCTTTGGTAATTGTTAATGTACATTTACTAGGTTCAAGCGGTTAACTGGCCGGCCTGAGGTGTCTATTTCTGCAAGGGATTATAAATTTTATTCCCCGCGTCACAAGTATAGGCGGGTTTCATCACAATCCGTCTCTAACATCCCTGGGCTTGCAGTAAGTTCTGCACCAATTTTTAATGCCTTTAACAGTTATTTGTCACTGAATAATATCTCAGACCACTGACTGTTGATGTGTAGGGATTTTCAGCTGCTGATAGCTCGTCTCCATTAGCAAGTCCTACAGGATTCCGTCCTCTCAGTGAGGTGACGTTTTATTATGTCTTCTAAAAATAGTATTTATTTGACTTGGCGTTGTTTGCAGATCCTTAATGTATTTTATTCTTTTAAGCTTTAGCCACTTGTTATACTTTGAGTGTTTGGTGCAAACTGGACCCTGCAGATATAGGATTGTGAATGCTACTATACTAACCCCTGTAGTATGCATGGGCTCATAAAATGATAATGCATGATATATCTTAACTTAATCTGGCCCTCTTTCCACTGTAAATGTCCTAAGTTTCTTCTTTTAATAATTTCTATCAGGTCCCATTGTCTACTTTATGGGAGACTAATTTAAAGCTTATTATGTAAACAAAAGTCAATTCTTATTTGCTATTCTAATAGAAGATAGCCTTATTTTACATCGATGAACTAAAACAATTTGATGATCTTCAATGTCACCACTGCAGTCCCTGCATCAAATGTTTCTGATTGATTTTTGCCTTGTCATTGATTTTGCAGGTGCCATTTTGGTTTGACTACCTTAAATAGAATAGTTGAAGCCTACCATGTCAATTAACTCTATTTTACAAGCATCCTGTGTTCCTACAGATTCACCAGTACAATAATATGAATTCTCATCTATTTCCATATACCTATGTGCAACAACTAGGGATACCCAATTCCACACACTAGATTTTCCAACCAACCATAGATAATGTCTGCTACTAGTATTTTACCTGGTTACCATCTATGTTCTACCCTAAATAACCCGAAGAAAAAAAAATAGTTACAACTTGTAATGCAGGGTAGACTAAAATCTTCGTAGGTACCTGTTGAATGATAAAAAAAAGTTCTGTCTTGAACATTGGTGAATTCTCAAAGCCTTCATACATTAGTGAGTTCAACTTTGATAAACTCGAAATGAAGAATCTTGCAGCGAGGGATCTCTTAATATAACCACAGATGCTTGAATGAGTTCCCACTAGCTGAATTCACCAAACCCCTATATGTGATTATAGGTAGAGTAAGTCCCTGGGACTGTGTAGAATCAAGGTCTCAGTAACATGCTTGTGTATGGGCTGCTTCCTAAAGTTCCAGACCAGTATCCAAGTTAAGAAGAATATACTTATTTCAATTTGCTAAAAATATCAAATACTTTGAACTTCAATTTTAAATTTTAAGTACAAGCTGCCAATAGAGATGGGCAGAAATGAATCAAATTTGAACTTTCCATGGTAATGACAAAAGAGATGTTGATGAAACATAGAGCTGCTGAGTGTAAGTGTCTGCAGAGAATTAGTTTGTTAAAGGATTTATTTTTTGGGTAAGTTTCAACAAAACCCCTGAATTTTGGTGGTTTTCATACAGAACCCCCTAACTTTGGGGTGTTTCACAAACACCCCTAAGCATTCAAATTTTCCCACAGACCCTCTAACTGTGTTAATGGATCAACAGTAACTTATTTCCTGGGCGATCAGCGTAATGGCTGGTGACCCTATTTATACCATTAGGGGGGTCGTTGGGGAGCTATGGTAGAGAGGTTTTTTTTTTTGTGGAGAAACCCTTAAGTGTTAGGGGCAGTTTGCTGTGTTTTTTATGTGGGGGCGGGGGGGGGGGGGGGCTGAGGGGAGTTCAATGGAGGGCTTCATGGGAAGCAGGGGTCACGGCGCCCCCCCCCCCCAAAAAAAAAAAAAAAAAAAAAAAAGAAAAAGTTCTTGGGGGTTTATGTAATTTACTCTTAGTGTGTTTTTTTTAATGCTAGAGAAAGTTCTCCCACCAAAGTAGTTCTGTTGATATTTTTACAATTTTCATGAGTTGTAACTCATGATTTTTGTCCCTTATTGTTTAATCAACCATATGAGAATTAATTATAACTAATTCAAGATTCACGATTTTCATGGGTTATAATTCACAATTTGGGAAATTTTATTCATTTCGTTACAAGGCTAGGTAATTAAATGTACTTCAAAATTTACAATTTCCATATGCTATAACCCACGATTTCGGCAACTTTCATTTGTTTTGTCTCAAGGGCAAGTAATTGTTTTATTTGCACATCCTTTTGTCTATTTTCATCCTAGAACGAGAATGTAATAAAGTACGTAACGTACTTTTTCTTATTTTATTAGCTTGTTGCTGTTTGTTTATGTGAATTATATCACTCCTATAACTATGTATTTGTGGTGACAATATCTCGCGAAGTACTGATATGAGGATGAGGAAATAATGGACTTACTTGCTTTCTTCCTTCCCGTCCGTAGTTTAGTATGATGGAATTTTTCACTTTTCTTTAATAAAGTGTTTGAACAAATGAGATATTTTGCAATTAACATGGACACAGGACCGAACTTGATAAGTATCTTATCGGAAACTTCAAAAAAAATTGTAATTCTCAAATTCAATAAATAGATTTAGTCTACTCCGATTAAAAAGGGAAATTAAGAAAAAAAAATCCATAAAAAGAGCGACTTAAGTGATTCATGGGCTGTATTTTTATCAATTTTTGTTCATTTCGATCCCATGACAATTGATTATGCATACTTCAAAATTCGTGATTTTCATTGGCTTATAACGCACAATTTTCAAAATTCGTGAATTTCATGAACTATAACACATGATTTTTGTCCGTTTATGTCTGTTTTGATCTAATGGTATTTAATTAGTTGTACACTTCAAAATACACAATTTTTATGGGTTAAAACCACATGTTTTTTTATGTATTTTCATTTGTTTCTACTTAATGACAATTAATTATGTACTTTTTCAACATTCATGAGTTTTATGTGTTGTAACCCATGCTTTTTGTTAATTTTCATTAGTTTTGACCCAATGAAAAATAAATTATGTGTACTTCATAATTCCCGATTTTCATGGCCACTAGTTTGATCCTAACAACAATGAACAAAACATATTACAAAATCATATCGAAAAATAAGTTTGTGTACTCGAAATTCGCAATGAAAAATAAGCATCGTAGAATTGACTCAAGAACAACAAAGCATTGTGGAATTGATGTACAACCTTAATAAGAAAATGATAATAGGTAAATATCTGTCAAATTCAAAACAAATACAAGAGGCTCTTTTCAATAGATGTCTTTTTAACAAATTCAAGATCAAATGGGTAGTTGGCATGGTGCAGGTCTGGACATGTATATGATTTTACCTACGTGCTCATGGATTTTAATCATCACAAGGCATGATTTTTTTTAAAAAGAAAAAAAATAACTACTGTCAGTTCTTATGGGCATTGTTATCAATACGCAAGGAGCAATGCGGGGTGTAAAGTCTTTATACATGTACATGAGCAAAGCGTAACGTCAAGCATGCGCCTGAGTGAAGCAAGGTGCACACCCCACACATAAGTTTTGAAGATAGATCATCAAGCACAAAAGAACATGTTTATGAATTTTCTTCTCTTAAAAAAATATGTCAAGATAAATAATATCTACTACCAATCAAAAAATAAGGTCTTAATTCATAATGCTAACACAATCCAACATAATATTGAAGTTCATAACTTCATAAGTAAAAGTCTAGTCATGACCAATATCGAAGCAAAATTAAATAGTAAACGAGGATCATTTAAGGTCCTTACAGGCTACTGAAGTCCTAATTGGTTTATTTAGCTTTTCGGGATGAGATATCAAGTACAAGGACCCTATTGAAATCTTAGAACTTTTTTATGAGGCTATATCTTGCATGCGCCTTATGCGAAGCATAAGGCTCCACTAAGGCACAAAAAGCGATGTCGTATTAGATGCAAGGCACTTTGCTATTGCCCCGCGTTGTAGGGCACATGAGGCACACTGAAATGCATGACTTTGATAACTGATGCGGGATAATCATAGATCGTCCATCAAAAGATTTTAAGATCTATTAGAATAATTTTAATTTTAGTAATATTTAATTTGATTCCATGTAATATTTTTTTAGTTAGGACTTTAGGATTTGATTTTGAAATCTCTTTCTATTTTAGCTAGGGTTTTGTCTTTTAGCTTTGTTAAGCTTTGATTTGATTAAGATTTTTATTTACTTCCTTAAGGACCTATTTGGTTTGAATGAAAATGGAAGAAAGGAAAAGAAATTGAGGAAGAAAGTCATTTTTAATTGTTTAGTTTGAAAGAAAAGAAAAAAGAAAATAAGAACGGGAGAAAATTAGAAGCTGAATTTTTCCTCGATTCTTTCCTCGTCGAGACCAAGCAAAAGAAGCGGAAAATTTTGTCGGGGGAGGAAGAAGATAGAGGACGCACTCGGAGACAGCAGCTTACTAGCACTTTCGTTTTCATGTGAGATCCACATGAGAAAACTAAATGAGCCTGCTATAATAAATGAGTCTGCTCTCAGTTTTAGCTTGGCACAAAATACTCGTCTGTTCTATGTGGCCCCACATCACATACCATAATTAAATTGGCTATATTGCTGTGTAGGAGTGAAAATGTTTTCTATTTTTATTTTTTCAACCATCATTCACATTTCGAAGAAATGAGTTTAAATCTTTAAATTTGTACTAGCTCCTTCAAGTTTTAAATTATTTAGAGATTAGTCCCTGAAACATTGAACTTGCTATTAGATCCTTGATGTTCATAAATTATTTCAAGCTAATCTCCTGAATTGCTAATTTCACTCTTGATTTGAGAAACTAATTTTAGAATTATTTCTCTCGTGGCTTACTCGCAATTTAAATGATTTGAAGGACTAATTTTAAAATAACTTAAGACTCAGAAAACCTAATAGCAATTCAATAATTTGAGGATCTGTTTCAAAAAATGATAGATTTTAAGAGACTAATACTAATAAAAAACCTTTCTAGTTTTGCTTACACAACAATGTAGTCATTAACTCAATGTTAATATTTTCTTATAAAGAACGAGCAACACATGTCTTGAATTCTAGGCTAGAAAAATATCACTTAAAATATTATTCATATAGATTATATAACATAAGTTAATTACAGTTTCTACTTTACTTTTATTAAACTATTCTTATTTTACTTCCGACTTTCATTTTTATTTTCTTCCCAACCAAACAACAAAAAGAATTTATTTCCTTTTCTTTTTCTTTTCCTTTCCTTTTCTCTTTCCATTTCCTTTTCCTTTCCATCACTTTCACTTGAACCAAACACAGCTTAAGTATTTGGTTGCTTTCTTTTCCTATAAATAAGAGATGTAATCATTCATAATGAATAGACATTGATGAATAAAAAATTTATGTTTGATCTTGAATATGTGAATTGCTTATTGGCATGTGAAGTGTCTTTAGTGTGTGAAGCCCTTGGATGTGAGGCCTCTAGGTGTGATGCCTAGTACCTATTAAAGTTCTCTTTCAATTATCCTTCTTAATCATCCACCATCCATTTCTCCTCCAAAAGAATCTCCACCATCCAACCAAGTCAAAACAACTCCACATAAAAAAAGAGCGACTGTTCATGGTTGAACAACACCAGCGTACTGTTCATCTTGGTAGCCTTCTTTGTCATGGATTTTAACCCCATTTCGCCAAGTCGCCGACAATTTCTCGCCTATAGATCGGGGCCCTCGCGTTGCTCCCCATCATTTAGTACCGGAACCGAAAGATCCACAGTTATCAGGGTAAAATACTGCTATCTCCTTCACAAGGATATGATTTTAATCCACTTAAATTTAATACCCTAGCTTACTTTTATGGATTTGATGGATATGAGGAGCCATATGAATTTGACGTCTGGATTTTTAATATAGAAGATATATTTTCTATCTATGATATGTCAAAACTGGAAATGTATTTATATGCTAAGTGTAGGCTAAAGAGAGAGGCAAAATATTTGTGTATAAAAATTATTATCATTCAAACATCCGTTCGTGGACAACTATGAAAGCTCTTTTGGAAAGGAGATACTCTAGTTCATCATTCCAAAGATATTGTTTCTCTTCAAATTCTGGAGCAAAGCCAATACAAAGCCCTCAACCTCGACCAGATGTGAATCTTCAATCAAAATTTGATTTCAGTCCAGTTCCGAAGTCTCAACTTGAGTCAAATGAGAAAGCAGAGAAAGATCAAAATTTAATCAAGAACCAAAACCCGAGTCTGAGCGTTAGCCAGAATCAGATGTAGATCAAAAGATCAATCTAGAGTGCGAAGCTGAACTACAGCCGAAAGAAGCAAAATCAAAAGACAGATCCAGCGATTAATCTTAAACAAGAGTTGGAACAAAAAACAAAGTAGTAGGTCGATCTTGTATCGAACCTGGAGCTCAAGTCAAGCTTAGAATTTGAACTTAAGATCGATGTGCAGTGCAAATTTTAAGATAATATAGTTATTGAGTTTGTTATTCTAGACCCTCCACTACCAACTCAATATCGGGTTTTACAGCTTATCTTGAAGATCTTGCAATCTACAATAGAATTCTTCTTACCAATCAAGTCAAACATTACGCTCTCTCATTATAAAACTCGAGGTCGAGTTTTCTCTAATAAGGGGAGATTTGATGCAGGATAATTATGGATCGTCCATCAAAAGATTTTAAGATCTATTAGAATAATTTTGATTTTAGTTATATTTAATTTGATTCCACATAATCTTTTTTTAGTTGGGAATACTTTAGGATTTGATTTTGAAATCTCTTTTTATATTTTAGCTAAATTTGTATTTTGGTTTTATTAGGTTTTGATTTGATTAAGATTTTTATTTACTTCCTTAAGTATTTTGTTGCTTTCTTTTCCTATAAATAGGAGATGTAATCTTCCATGAGGAATAGACATTGATTAATTAAAAAATTGCATTTGATCTTGAGCATATGAATTGCTTATTGGCATGTGAAGTGTTTTTACGATGTGAAGCCATTGGGTGTGAGGCCCCTAGGTGTGATGCCTAGTACCTATTAAAGTTCTCTTTCAATTATCCTTCTCGATTATCCATCACCCATTTCTCCTCCAAAAGAATCCCCACCATCCAACCAAGTCAGAACAAATAAACATTTAAAAAAAAAGAGCTACTGTTCACGGTTGAACAGTTCCACATACTGTTCATCTTGGTAGCCTTCTTCGTCATGGATTTTAACCCCATTCCGCCAAATCACCGACGATTTCTCACCTCCAGTTTGAAGCCCTTGCTCTGCTCCCTATCGATAACACTGCTAATGGGCACTGGATATGGTGTGTTTTAATCTTCAGGAGTTGTGTTTTTCAAATCTGTTCAGGATTTTTATAACGTTGTTGCAATGTTTTAGTGAATCAACGTTTTGTTTGGTGATTAAACTGCTAATGATGATCTCAAGGTGTAGTTGTGATTTCTTCTCAACTTAGTTTGGCTCTTGTTTTACTCACGAAACGTTTAAAGTATGCTCTCATCTACTCTCCAAATATATTTTACTTTCGTTCTCTGAGATACCTTGCACATGAATAGCTTTATTTCTATTTCTTACATTAAATTTTACTTTTACAGCCACAAAATCAGCAGCAGCCTCCGCCAAAACATCATATTCAACAGCTTACTCAGCAACCTCAGTTTCATGCTGTCCACCAAACACATAACCAATGCATGCAACAAACTCAACAAGCTACACAGTTTCCACAAATGCATCCATGTACGCATCCTTCTCATTTACAAGAGATTCCTCATCAACATCAGTCACCAACTATGTCACAGCATATGGCCTGCATGCAATCCGTTTCTGGAGGCCTTGTTGGAGGGCGCTTGCATTTGCTTGTGAGGATTTCTCTTTTCTTTTATAATACTGAAAATGCAGTCGATGATTGTTGTATTCTCATATAAACTGATACGACTAGTAAGTAACTGAAAACATGGTCCTTCTATATCCCAATAACTTGGTTTTTATTAATGATGATCCATAAAGCTCTGGGCTTGAGTTATGCTGCCCTTGGCTTCTAAACTTTTGACACCTGAGAATGTAGTAGGGTTTGGTCAGTTACTTCTTCTTCTTTCTTTTTTTTTTTGGGTGGAGGTATCAGGTTTAATACTATTTGCTGCAGCTGCAGAATGACTATAACAATTACCTCTGATTTTTCTATTGTCCTTTTTTCCTATTTCAGTTGCCAAATGAATCCAAAGGATGTGAGAAAGTGTCGGAAATTTGCATATATTATATAGCTACATATTCCTCCCTCTTTGTGCTCGCTTACTTATTAGTTAGTGTATTCTTTACTTCAATACTAGTATTATCGAACTTTAAAATATGGTATTGAAGTTAGTATTATGCATGTGGTGTTAGTTTCAACCATTCTCTGTATTGGCAGTAGTGGCATTATTCCAGTGTTTTTCATCTGTCATGGTTCTGATTTGATCCTTCTGTTTCAGCTCACAACTCCTGCCAAGTTTTGTGATGAATGTGGTGCACCTTACCTCAGGGAGACATCCAAATTCTGCTCCGAATGTGGTACTAAAAGGTTAGGGACTTGAGAAGATGTATGAAATGCTGGTTGAATCCTTCTGTAAATTATTGGAGAACATGAAAACACACATTTTCCCTTTTTTTTCTTTTCTTTCTGTAAACTATTGTAATGCCAGATATTTGTTCATCCACCTCTTGAAAGGAAATTAATGCTGACCAAAAGCAGTGCAGCACTATTTTTTTTATTTAAATTATGGTCTTTTAATAAATGACATAGTTATTGTCATCTTTTGATTAAATGGGATCTGTTATGTGCTACTTATATCGGAGGGCGAGTTTGTGTGCTCCCTGCAATTTTCTTGATGAGCTTAGGGGTTGAATTAGGGTTGCTATTTGTCGAGTTCTTCCTAGTTATCGTTTGACTTTGTGAAGGAATTATGGGATTAAGCGTCTGGTGCTGTTTACCATATTTGCAGGATTTATTTTATGAATCCATGTAGTGGAGTAATAAATACATGTGAAATTATTAATAAACACGTGTGAAGTTGGGATACAATTAACTTCAAAAATTATCTTTGAAAGAAATAGTCTCCTCTGCTCTATTCAGAAGCTCTGTAAGCAAAAATACCGACAGGTGGTTTCAATCACTCAATATTCTCCTTTGCTGTATTCAGAAGAGCAAAAATACCCACATTTGCTGCACCCAATTTGGTCGAAACAAACGTTGAAAGCCTTTGCTTATTAACTAGAAAACTACAAACTATTGCCACGCCAACGATCTTTAGTGAATTCTAAGCCAAAGAATATAGATATTTTACATTTGCAAAGAAACCGACACTTTTTTTTTTCAGCCAGAAAACAAGGGAAAAGTTCCCGTTCAGTTTGGTTAGAGGTAGGTGTTGTGCTGACGGCGGCGCCGAGGAACCAAAACAAACGCCGATCCAAGAAGGTCAAAAACAACCAAATATCAATGCACAAACCAAACACCAATTTTAACGTGGTTCGGCAATTGTCTACGTCCACAGGGCAAGAAGGAGGAGGGTTTCCACTAATAGAGAAGGAGAGTACAAATTGAGATTACAAATCGCTCAAACGAACCAACTAATCTCACCAACAAATCTCTCAACCTCTCAACCAATAACCCTAACAAATAGCTCAGAAAGATCTCTCTTTTTGTGCTCAAAATTCCCCAAAACGCTCCTTCAAAACCCTCAAATCGTATTGGTATTTATACCAAAACAGAAACCCAAACAGACTGCAAATAGGAACCTGAACTTTCCAAAAAACCCGTCGTAAGTCGACTTATCAGTCTGCATAAGTCGATTTGGCAGAGCGAAAAACGACAACTGGAGAAGAGATCATAAGTCGACTTATCAGACCTGATAAGTCGACTTATCAGACCTGATAAGTCGACTTGCCAGAGCCCAAAATCAACAATCCAGAGCAGATCGTCGACTTATCAGACCTGATAAGTCGACTTGCCAGAGCCCAAAATCAACAATCCAGAGCAGATCGTAATTCGACTTACGACACAAACATAAGTCGACTTACCATAAGTCGACTTATGCCTGTGCATGAGTCGACTTATGACCAAAAAACTGCTTTTTTCAAGTTCTCATCCACAATTCTCCACCTCGGCGAAGTTTTCCCAAAACTGAGCCGACACCAACCAAACAAATGCCTCACGTGTTGAGACCCAAATGGGAGTGCGAACACTCACCCCAAATGTCGATGTCGCTCACCAAATCGGCTGCATCATAAAGACTGCCTACGTATCCTTTGCCCAAGGAATCAAGCCTTCACGTAGTTCACCCAAACGGCCTCCAAAGGCCATCAAAAATGCCCGTATCCAAATCATGCCCACCAGCTGCAACCGAATCCAAAACCAATCCATCATCTGCATCCGAAATTAAATGATTCCCAACCTGTGTCACCTCAGCTGGAATCCCAAATGATGCAGTATGATCTGGAGTACGTGGAGTAATCTCCACCCAACGTGGAGTAGCATCACTCTCCACCTGCTACGATATCCAAACGACCTGATCAACATTCTCCACCTGCCGAGAGTCAAAAGTGACATACCTGCTCAGAACAAAATCAGAAGTTCCCAAACGATAATCAACTGAGCCTCCGAACCCCAAACGCGCAATCGGATCAAATCTCACATCCTCAATGTGACCAAATGCTGGGTATCCAAATATCCGACGCAACCCAAAATCTGAATCAGCTCCACCAGATCCAATAACTCCTAATGCAGCAGTCGGCGACCTGTGACTAAGATGACCCAAATATGTCGAAGCTCCAGAACCAATGCTCGACAACCAACGCCGATCCTCCTCCAGAAAGGAACGACCCATCGAAACTGTCATCTCATCTCGTCGCCCCAAAGTCTCCACACCAATGAAGTATCTCCTACTGCCGTGAGCTCGGCACAAACGTAAGAAAGGACCCCTGCCAAAGCTGAAACAACAAGTTACCTTTCTGCCAATACACTTCTTCCAACTGTTGTTGACTTCTAGGACTTTACACCAACGGGAACTGGTCGCGACCCAATAATGCCTAGAACAATCATCAACTGCGAAAACCAAGATACGATTACCTCCCAATGATGCCTCCTTGGAAGGCCCCCAAATACCCGACTGAACACCTCCTAAAAGACCCCCCGCTCGATGGATAGGAGTGCCAAACTCCACCACGGTCTTGCTCATCCCAACGTGCTCACAGGACTTCAATCTACAGGTCATAGCACTCCTTAACAACCAATGCACGGCATTACCAATCATATACCCCAGCACCAAACAATGCCACAGTCTAGCCGAATCTGATGAAGTCGTCATCTCCCTATCAATCACCGTGCTTCCGTGCAAATAATATAAATTTCTCCTTCTGACGCCCTTCATCACAATCGTGGACCCAAATGTAACCTTCAAGAGTGCATCCGCCAAGGTCACCCTATAGTCTGCTGCCTCCAAAGCTCCAAGTAAAATGATGTTCTTCTTCAACTGAGGAAGGAACCTCACTCCAACCAACTCCCGAATCACCCCGTCACTCATCCTGATTCGAACGGTACCGATACCACCAATAGAGCATTTGTGCTCATTCCCCATGAGCACGAAATCCCCTCTTTCCAACTCCTGAAAGCTGGAGAACCAATCCCTCCTAGGGCAAATGTGGTATGTAGCCCCCGAATCCAACATCCACTCTGTAGAGTAGGCAACACAAACTGACGACAGTGCAGATAACGAGTAGCCCGAAGAATCCGAATCTGAATCGTTGCCACTAGCCTTGACAACATTCGCCTCTGAAGCTTGAATAGCTTTTCCCTTATTCTTCCCGGCTCGATCAACTAACTTTGGGCAATCGGCTTTCCAATGTCCATCTTCTTTGCAAAAGGCACATTGATTCTTACGAACTCCAAGATGTGCCCCTCTAGACTGCGACCTCCCACTACGGTTTGGACCCTTTGCTCTTGCGACCAACGCCCCCGCTACCGGCTCAAACGAAGTCTCCTTATCCTTCTTTCGAAGCTGATAATTCACAAGTGCAGCGGTGACCTCACTATACGAAAGAGATGCCTTCCCATTAATAAGAGTAAGAACGAAGGTCTCATATTCCTCGTCAGGCAAGGAACTCAACAACAACAACGCCTTGTCCTCATCTTCAATCACCACATCTACATTCGTCAAATCCGCAAGAAGCTTCGTGTAGTGGTTCATGTGATCACCAATGGAGGTTCCTTTCTTCAACTGGAAGCGGTAAAGCCTCCTCTTCAAATGCAAGCGATTCTCCACACTCTTGGTCAAATACTTGCTCTCAAGGATCTCTCAAATCTTCTTTGCAGAAGTCTCATTGATCACATCATACTTTAGATCTTGAGTGAGACAAGACCTAATCACACCACACGCCGTTCGATTCATCTTTTTCCAAACCTTCTCATCAATCTTGTCCAGTTTCCCGACCAACTCCAACGTATCTTCCAAATTTTGCGCGTTGAGCGCATCCATGACTTCGCATCGCCAAAGTCCAAAATTATTTGTGCCATTGAACTTTTCCACGTCAATCTTCATCGAGTGGATATTCAAGCTTTGGACGGTCTTCATGCCGGAAGTACTGCCCACAACTCCTTCTTTCTCGGCCATAATCCTCAAAGCACCACCAAACCAATACGGAAACAAACGAGAAATAGATCCAAACTGAAAAAGACGAGATTTTTACCAAAAAGATCCCATCTTTATCACCAAACGAAGCCCTAGATGAACTTCCAAAGCGATCTACTCCTCCAAATAGCCCAAGCGTAGCCCGAGCTCTGATACCACTTGTTGTGCTGGACGGCGGCGCCGAGGAACCAAAACAAACGCCGATCCAAGAAGGCAAAAAACAACCAAATATCAATGCACAAACCAAACACCAATTTTAACGTGGTTCGGCAATTGCCTACGTCCACGGGGCAAGAAGGGGGGGTTTCCACTAATAGAGAATGAGAGTACAAATTGAGATTACAAATCGCTCAAACGAACCAACTAATCTCACCAACAAATCTCTCAACCTCTCAACCAATAACCCTAACAAATAGCTCAGAAAGATCTCTCTTTTTGTGCTCTCCAAAACCCCAAAACTCTCCTCACAAAACCCTCAAATCGTATTGGTATTTATACCAAAACAGAAACCCAAACAGACTGCAAATAGGAACCTGAACTTTCCAAAAAACCCGTCGTAAGTCGACTTATCAGTCTGCATAAGTCGACTTGGCAGAGCGAAAAACGACAACTGGAGAAGAGATCATAAGTCGACTTATCAGACCTGATAAGTCGATTTGCCAGAGCCCAAAATCAACAATCCAGAGCAGATCGTAAGTCGACTTACGACACAAATATAAGTCGACTTACCATAAGTCGACTTATGCCTGTGCATGAGTCGACTTATGACCAAAAAACTGCTTTTTCCAAGTTCTCCTCCACAGTAGGGACACACAGTATTCTACAATAATATTAATAGAAACATAGACTCTCTCTCAAATTGAAGCATGAAACTTTCTCCATTAGTATATCAATGATGGTGACAAAAAGATCCTAACCGTCATTCACCACTAACATTGATATAAAAATGGACCAAAAGCCGGCCACATGACCATAAAAGAGAAAGAAAAGTTTCTAAAAACATTCCCTACAAAACAGAACCTCTACATATGATTATCTGCATCAAATAAGTCTTAAAAGAAATAAAGTGTTTACAAAATAATAAAGAGCTTAAT